CGGTGAACATTCATTCACTAGAGGGAGAATCCTCCCATTGAGGACACAGGCAGCAATAAAAACCTGACCAACCTTTCCCTACCCCATCAAAGCAAAAAAAAAGTCGTCAATATACCTCAATGCTGAACTCCGGGATTAGTAAATATCATCTAAATCCATTCCGTTCAACCAGATCTGTGCAGGAATCAAGTGTGAGACTTCCTGGAATAAAGACCGCTCACTGCTGCTCTCTCAACTTGTGCAGGATGACTGGTCCTGTCTCCACCCCCTTCTGTAGTTTCCTGCAGGCAGCCTGTAGTGGGTGGGGACCAGTGGGGCCACTCCCACAGCTCTGCTCTCTCTCCTTGTGCAGAGGGACTGATCCTGTCTCCGCCCCCTCCTGTAGTTTCCTGCAAGCAGCCTGTAGTGGGTGTGACCAGCGGGGCCACTCCCAAAGCTCTGCTCTCTCTCCTTGTACAGGCAGCCTGTAGTGGGTGGGACAATCAGGTCCCCTCTCACAGCTCTGCCCTTTCCCCTTGTGCAGAGTGACTAGTTCTGTCTCCTCCTGTAGTGGGTGGAGCCTCCTAGGTCCTTCCAACAGCTCTGCTCTCTCTCCTTGCACAGGGTGACTGGCCCTGTCTCCGTCTGTAGTGGGTGGAGCCTCCTAGGCCCCTCCCATAGCTCTTTTCTCTCTCCTTGTGCAGGATGACTGGTCCTGTTTCTGCCTGTAGTGGGTGGAGCCTCCTAGCCCCCTCCCACAGTTCTGCTTTCTCTCTCCTTGTGCAGGATGACTGGTTTTGTCTCCTCCCCCCCCCCCCCCCTGTAATTTTCTGTAAACAGCCTGCAGTAGTGGGTGGAGCCTGCTGGGTCCCTCCCACAACTTTGCTGATGGTCTTGTTCCCACCCCCCCCCCTTAATTTCCTTCAAGCAGTCTGTAGTGGGTGGAGTTTCCTAGGCCCCTCCCACAGCTCTGTTCTCTGCAGAGGCTATGTACAGCACAGTGATGACGTCACTGTTACAAGGTAATATCTGGGTTTACAAAGACATTTGATGCACACAAAGAGGATGTATATCTTTGTATCTATGAGGATATATTTAAAGTACCTGGAGCTCAGCTTTAACCCTTTCTCATAAATCTTAATAAAAACCGAAGCTGTGTAGCCTACCAATGACCCCAATGGTTTGGTTTGTCGGTGAATGTTGGTCTTCCACCAATAAAGACAAGCGGAATGATCGATCCACCCTGAAAATGGTGATTCTGATTCCATCTTTTATCATCACTGTTATTTTTTCACCGTCTTTCTTGAGAAACCTGGAAAGACATAAAGATAAACTGAAGATCTGTAGAGGTTCTTTGGATGCCCGCCATGATGGCCTCCAGACATGACACCATCGGGGAAAATGATTTCTTCTGTATAAAATTAACAATTTGGTTCCCCTGCCCCTCTACCTGCCCTGACGGGTTAGATTGAAGGACCGAGGTTCCATATATAAATGGAGGTCTATGGCTCCCTTTGGAAGTCTGGGCTGCTGCCAGAACTGGTCTGACTCTGATGTCGCTTCAATAGAGGGGATACTTCAGAAAAGAGGAGCGCCCGGTGTTTATTGAATGTTTGCATTTATTTATTTATTTTACATTTAATAAAAAAAACAAACTTTATATATGCCGATGAGAAGTCAAAGCTGATTTTATTCCCTCTCGGTGTTTCAGCAATTTAGCCCAGAGACGACCAGGCAACTGGCATTTTCAGAAGGGAGTTGGCCATTGCAGCCCTAGTTAACTGCCAGTACGGGGATCCTTTAACTGGCCCCATTTGCTGGGTGGAGAACCTCTTCTCATTCCCTTACCTGTCTAGTTCAAAAGTCGAATTCCAGTTATAGGCCTTCAGATCTGAGCCTTGTGTGACGGCCACACTGTCTTCCCCGACTTCCACCCTCAGTCCCAGTTTACTGTTCAGTAAAGCAAACCTCCCGAAACTCCTGTCATCTGCCAGTCTGCCATTCAGCGTGACACCTGCAGGGGGCGGAAGTACAGCACTGTATAAACTGATGACACGACATACACTCACCGGCCACTTTATGAGGTCCACCTGTTCAATGGCTCGGTAACAACAATTGCTGAATAACCAATCACATGGCATTTAGGCATCTAGACACGGTGAAGATGACTTGCTGAAGTTCAAACCGAGCATCAGAATGGGGAAGAAAGGGGATTTTGAATGTGGCATGATTGTTGGTGCCAGACGGGCTGGTCTGAGTGCTTCTTCAAAAACTGCTGATCTACTGGGATTTTCACGCACAACCATTTCTAGGGAAATCGAGACTCATCAGACCAGGCAACGTTCTTCCAATCTTCTTTTGTCTAATTTTGGTGAGCCTGTGCGAATTGTAGCCTCCCTTTCCAGTTCTTAGCTGACAAGAATGGCACCCGGTGTGGTCTTCTGCTGACAGGAGTGGCACCCTGTGTGGTCTTCTGCTGACAGGAGTGGCACCCTGTGTGGTCTCCAGCTGACAGGAGTGGCACCCTGTGTGGTCTTCTGCTGACAGGAGTGGCACCCTGTGTGGTCTTCTGCTGACAGGAGTGGCACCCTGTGTGGTCTTCTGCTGACAGGAGTGGCACCCTTGTGGTCTTCTGCTGACAGGAGTGGCACCCTGTGTGGTCTTCTTCTGCTGTAGCCCATCTGCTTCAAGGTTGGACGTGTTATGTATTCAGAGATGGTATTCTGCATACCTTGGTTGTAACGAGTGGTTGTTTGAGTTACTGTTGCCTTTCTATCATCTCCAACCAGTCTGCCCATTCTCCTCTGACGTCAACAAGGTATTTTCCTCCACACAACTGCCACTCACTGGATATTTTCTCTTTTTTTCGGACCATTCTCTGTATAACCTGGCGATGTTTGTGTGGGAAAATCCCAGGAGATCAATTGTATTGAGTACTGTAAATATCTATTTGTCAATACTTTGCCAACTATGCATGCCATGTCTTAGCCCTGATGAATGGGAAACTTCTAGTACCCTAGAAACGTGTTGAGATTTTACAGATGATGCTAATAAATGATTGTGACCCTCACCATCCCTTCTCACCATGTATTTGATACAGAGCTGTATGATGGACCTCTAAAGAAAGAAGAAACATCCAGCTGGGGTGGCCAAGCACACAAGGGAACCCGGGGTGTCCTAATCCCACTTCTACATGTGACTGGTGTGGCTCTGTTTATTAACAAAGCCTTGTGATCATGTGTCAGTGTTATTTGGCAAAGGTGAAAAAAAGTTTGGTAAAACCAAAACTCCCAGTGTCGTTCATCCCTGATGGTCTTTTCTTCTCTCCAGAAGAGCCCAACAGATCTCCTACCATGATACATGTCCTCCAGTGTGTACCGCCCCGGCCTCTAACTACGGGGGGAAGGGAAACAACTTACCTGTGCTGGCGTCACGTAACAGGGTGACATAAGTGCCATCAGCCTGAGAAATTTGAAGGCAAATCTTCTCAGAGGCTTTGGGATGTTTCAGAAGAACTTGGAACACTTCACAATCTCCTAGCGATAAGGAAATCTGTGTTAGACAATTAAAATAACCTTTTTTTTTTAATTTTTAATTTTATAATGATTATCATTTGCTCTTCAGAATTTATGGCATGTAGAAGAATCAGGACCTCCTTTCTCCTGCCGGTGACCTCTCTAGTGATTTATAGATCTATATAGGGAATCAGGACCTCCTTCCTCCTGCCGGTGACACCTCTAGTGATATAAAGATCTATATAGAGGAATCAGGACCTCCTTTCCTCCTGCCGGTGACCCCTCTAGTGATATAAAGATCTATATAGAGGAATCAGGACCTCCTTTCTCCTGCCGGTGACCCCTCTAGTGATATAAAGGATCTATATAGAGGAATCAGGACCTCCTTCCTCCTCCGGTGACCCCTCTAGTGATAGGATCTATATAGAGGAATCAGGACCTCCTTCCTCCTGCCGGTGACCCCTCTAGTGATAGGATCTATATAGAGAATCAGGACCTCCTTCCTCCTGCCGGTGACCCCTCTAGTGATAGGATCTATATAGAAGAATCGGGATCCTCCTTCCTCCTGCCGGTGACCCCTCTAGTGATAGGATCTATATAGAGGAATCGGGACCTCCTTCCTCTCCTGCCGGTGACCTCTCTAGTGATATAGGATCTATATAGGGAATCGGACCTCCTTCCTCCTGCCGGTGACCCCTTTAGTGATATAAAGATCTATATAGAGGAATCAGGACCTCCTTCCTCCCGCCGGTGACCCCTCTAGTGATCAAGATCTATATAGAGGAATCAGGACCTCCTTCCCCCCGCCGAGGACCCCTCTAGTGATATAAAGATCTATATAGAGGAATCAGGACCTCCTTGCTCCTGCCGGTGACCCCTCTAGTGATATCAAGATCTATATAGAGGAATCGGGACCTCCTTCCTCCTGCCGGTGACCCCTCTAGTGATATAAAGATCTATATAGAGGAATCGGGACCTCCTTCCTCCTGCCGGTGACCCCTCTAGTGATAGATCTCTATAGAGGAATCAGGACCTCCTTCCTCCTGCCGGTGACCCCTCTAGTGATAGGAAAGATCTATATAGAGGAATCAGGACCTCCTTCCTCCTGTCGGTGACTCCTTTAGTGATATAAGGATCTATATAGAGGAATCAGGACCTCCTTCCGCCTCCCGGTGACCCCTCTAGTGATATAAAGATCTATCTAGAGGAATCGGGATCTCCTTCCTCCTGCCGGTGACCCCTCTAGTGACCCCTCCTTCCTCCTGCTGGTGGTCCCTCCAGTGATATAAAGTGTTTTTATTTCACCCTCTAGTGACAGAGGTGCGTAAAGCAATGCACATGCATTTATGGCATGAGGCCAGGCAATGAGGATTGTACAATGGCTTCAACATTCATCCCCACAACTTTTTTTTGTTTGTAAACCAGACTTCTGCCTTCATTTTCAAGGAATTGGATTCGGCTTCATACCTTCCAATGTCCTCCGCTGTAAATCGGTGAAAGGTCGCCTAACATTATTGTAGTCTGCACGTCGTCTTTGCTGTTTGCATTAACAAGTCTAATGGCATGAAAAGTGTGAGGCAGACCAAGCAAACAAAAAGCATTGCGTGTATACAACTGTCCATGCCAGGACTGTATGGAACATGTGAGCGTACCTTTCGTGGGAGCAGGGAGTAGCATCGGTGGGACAAGAGCCAGCATAACTGGAAAACAGTTTTTAAGATCAACTGATGTACTCAAAAGCATTATATATATACAGTATCTGGGTGTAAGGGATGTACGGGGTGTATGGGGTGTATGGGGTGTACGGGATGTATGGGGTTTATGGGATGTATGGGATGTACTGGATGCACGGGGTGTACGGGGTGTATGGAATGTACAGATTGCACGGGGTGTATGGGATGTACGGGGTGTATGGGATGTACGGGGTGTACGGGATGCACAAGGTGTACGGGATGCACAAGGTGTACGGGATGCACAAGGTGTACAGGGTGTATGGGATGTATGGCATGTAGGAGGTGTACAGGATGTGCGGGGTGTACGGGATGTTCAGGGATGTATGGGGGGTGTACAGGGTGTACGGGATGTATAGGATGTAGAGGGTGTACAGGATGTATGGGGTGTACGGGGTGTACGGGGTGAACGGTATGTACGGGATGTTCAGGGTGTATGGTATGTACGGGATGTATAGGATGTACAGGATGTATGGGGTGTACGGGATGCACGGGGTGTATGGGATGCACGGGATGTACGGGGTGAACGGGGTATACGGGATGTACAGGATGTACAGGATATACGGGATGTATGGGATGTATGGGGTTTACAGGATATACGGGGTGTATGGGGTGTACAGGATGTACCGGATGCACGGGGTGTATGGGATGTACGGGATGTACGGGATGTATGGGACGTACAGGATGTACGGGGTGTACGGGGTATATGGGATATACGAGATGTAAAGGATGTATGGGATGTACGGGATGTATGGGATGTACGGGACGTATGGGATGTACGGGACGTATGTGATGTACGGGACGTATGGAACGTATGGGATGTATGGAACGTATGGGATGTACGGGCTGTATGGAACGTATGGGATATATGGAACGTATGGGATGTATGGGCTGTATGGGATGTACGGGATGTACGGGATATATGGAACGTATGGGATGTATAGGATGTACGAGATGTATGGAACTGTCAGGGCTCCGGGGTATGACCAGAGGTATGTGACTGACGCAGGGAAACGCAGACTTCAGATATGTTATAAACAATATAAGTTATTAACACTAACAATACATAAACGCAGTGCAATACTAAAACATAACACAGTGCAAACGAATCAAACCAACCACCCACAGATGACAGTACATACAATGCAAGCGTCGTCAGGCAGGCCGGGTCAATATCAATCGGGCAGGTAGGTACAGGGGGAGCAAGCGGAGAATGGTCGGGGTCACAGGCCAGGTTCAGCAGGTAGCAGGCAGCGTGGTACAGAGGGTCAGGCAGAGGGATGGTCAGGGTCACAAGCCAGGGATCAGAACAGGAGAAGTCAGCAGAGGTCAGAATCAAGCAGGGTCAGCAACAAGACAGGAACAGGAACAGGACCGCAGGTTAACAAGATACAGGGCCCAGGAAAAACACAACACCAAGGCAGAGTCTGCAAGTCTGAATGTCCCTTAAATACACCAGTATAATTAGTTCCAGGTGTTTGACTGGCTGCAAGGTTGAGTCTCTGATTGCTGGGAGCACCCGCTGGCCAGCCCTGGTACTGCAGCTCATAAGGCAGGTGAGTCCCACTATTGCTGGCCAGTCCATTCCTGACAGGAACGTATGGGATGTACGGGTTGTATGGGATGTACGGGATGTATGGGATGTACGGGGTGTATGGGATGTACGGGATGTATGGGATGTTCAGGGTGTACGGGATGTACGGGATGTATGGGATGTTCGGGATGTATGGAACGTATGGGATGTGCAGGGTGTACGGGATGTACGGGGTGTACGGGATGTACGGGATGTACAGGATGTACGGGGTGTACGGGATGTATGGAACGTATGGGATGTACGGGGTGTACGGGGTGTACGGGATGTATGGGATGTATGGAACGTATGGGATGTACAGGGTGTACGGGGTGTACAGGATGTACGGGATGTATGGGGTGTACGGGATGTACGGGGTGTATGGGGATGTACGGGATGAATGGGGTGTACGGGATGTACGGGATGTATGGAACGTATGGGATGTACGGGGTGTACGGGATGTACGGGGTGTACAGGATGTACGGGATGTATGGGGTGTACGGGATGTACGGGGTGTATGGGGATGTACGGGATGTACGGGTGTATGGGATGTACGGGGTGTACGGGATGTCCGGGATGTACGGGATGTACGGGATGTATGGGGTGTACGGGATGTACGGGGTGTACGGGATGTCCGGGATGTACGGGATGTACAGGATGTACGGGATGTACGGGGTGTACGGGATGTACGGGGTGTACGGGATGTACGGGATGTACGGGATGTACGGAATGTACGGGATGTACGGGGTGTACGGGATGTATGAGCAAGCAGATAGGAACTGACAGGGAGAATCAGTGAACTACCACATCACATCATTCATTGAGAACTACGAGCCGACAGTCAGGACTTGTAGTTCATTCATTCACAGTACTCTATAAATGAATGACACGGCTGTGTGGGCGGAGCCCTGCACGGCTGCACTCTATTCAAAAACTGACAGCTTGTATGGGAACTTCTATTGCTGCTGGGGGGTCTTATGTTGCTTTTACGATCTACTATTGAGGGGGGGGTGCTGACTGCTGGCTTCCGGGAGATCTGTTGTTGTTGCTGGAGAGTTTCTGTGGTGGATCTTTTGTTCCTGGAGGTGGTATTTTGTTGGGGATGGTTCATGGTTGCTGTGTGAGGGGATCTATTGTTGCTGGGGAGGGGTCCATTGTTGCTGGGGGAGAATATTGTTCTGTCGGGGATCTGTTGTTGCTGGGAGGGATCTATTGTTGCTGGGAGAGATCTATTGTTACTTTGGAGGGTATTGTTGTGTGGGGATCTATTGTTGATGGGAGGAATCTATTATTGATGGGAGGGATCTATTGTTGATGGGAGGGATCTATTGTTAATGGGAGGGATCTATTGTTGATGGGGGATATATTGTTGATGGCAGGGATCTATTATTGATGGGAGGGATCTATTGTTGATGGGAAAGATCTATTATTGATGGGAGGGATCTATTGTTGATGGGAGGGATCTGTTATTGATGGGAGGGATCTATTGTTGATGGGAGGGATCTGTTATTGATGGGAGGGATCTATTATTGATGTGAGGGATCTATTGTTGCTGGCTGCAGGGGATCTATTTTACTGATTTTCTTGTTATCATTCCATAGAGTTTATTTAGCACCACAAAATGGTACTTGGTTCTGTATTCTCTAAAAGGGGCGGGACCGGGAGGTGGGTAGAGGGCATAACCAAGGAACAGTGCTCAGAGGTAGGTAGAGGGTGGAACCAAGGGACGGTGCTCAGAGGTAGGTAGAGGGTGGAACCAAGGGACGGTGCTCTATATGACGCACTTTATATGACGCACTCTATATGACGCACTTTATATGGCGCACTTTATATGGCGCACTTTATATGGCGCACTTTATATGACGCACTCTATATGACGCACTCTATATGGCGCACTTACCTGGAATTTGCACGCTGTGGTGTACATAGTTTTTTTTTTCTGTTCCAAAAATGAAAAGAACGCAACAAAGAAACAATTATTCTGTTTGCAGAAACAAGGTGGAGTGAGCCATGTACAAAGCGGGGGATGTGACTTTCACCAAACATTCACTGGAGGCCAATCAGTCACTGGCCTTTAAATTGGTTGCAAACCTCTGAAATGAAAAACAAACACGGCATATCCTTCTATGGTGTGCGCTTGCCTCAATACAAAGCACTGAGTGTGATTTCTGTCTCCTCTCTCAGTCCTTTGCTCTCGGCATGAGTCCCTTCTGAGAGTTTATGCCAACAACACTGAATCCCAGGCGATGGAGGAGCGGGGCTCCAGCACACAGACTGTGATTAACAGCCTCAGCTGTGCATGTTTCCCTATGAGATTGTATAGAGGTGGGTGTGTCCATTCCCTCCACTCAGGTCTCAGCTTACACTCAGCTGCTTGCTCTGTGCTGTGCAGTGTGTGACATCAGATCCCCACCCCCTGCCTCCTGGAGCTGAGAAACGATGTGTAAATTCTGGACTGATAGAGAGGAAAGAAGGCTGCAGATAAACTGGAACAACTTATGTGGGAGGATTTGCTTCCTCTCTGAGCCTAGTCACTTCACTGGGTATATGGAAACGGTTTACAGCCAGTTTAACCCTGGCCGGATCTAGGGGGGTGCTGGGGTGGGATGCACCACCCCCCAGAATTCAGTTGTTCCCCCCCCAGGTTGGCCTTCTCACAGACGTTGTGCCCGGCTGATGAGCCCCTCTCCCCATCCCCCACACTCAGGGCCGGGAGAAGTGGAGGGCAGTACAATGTAGTGAAGGTTACAGGACAAATGGCAGCAGCAGAGAGCAGGGAGGAGGTGCGGGCTGTGCTGTGCTCTCCCTTCCTGTCCGAAGACAGAACATGAGAAGAGCTCTGACATCGGGCCGAACACTGACTGAGGGACTGGGGGGGATTTTGGGGGCTAAGAGGGGTATTTGAGCTTGGAGGGGGAATTTGTGCTAAGAGCAGGGATTGGAGGGATTTATGCTAGGAGGCGGGATTTGTACTAGGAGGCAGGATTTGTGCTTAGAAGAGGGATTGGAGGGATTTATGCTAGGAGGCGGGATTTATGCTAGGAGGAGGGATTTGTGCTAGAAGGGGGGATTTGTGCTAGGAGGCGGGATTTGTGCTAGGAGGTAGGATTTGTGCTAGGAGGTGGGATTGGAGGGATTTATGCTAGGAGGCGGGATTTGTGTTTAGAGCAGGGATTGGAGGGATTTATGCTAGGAGGCGGGATGTGTGCTAGGAGGGGGGATTTATGCTAGAAGGGTAGATTGGGGGGATTTGGGCTAACAGAGGGATTGGGGGCTAAGAGGGGTATTTGGACTTGGAGGGGGAATTTGTACTAAGAGCAGGGATTGGAGGGATTTATGCTAGGAGGCGGGATTTATGCTAAGAGCAGGGATTGGAGGGATTTATGCTATGAGGCGGGATTTGTGCTAGGAGGGGGGATTAAGGGGATTTATGCTAGGAGGCGGGATTTGTACTAAGAGCAGGGATTGGAGGGATTTATGCTAGGAGGCGGGATTTATGCTAAGAGCAGGGATTGGAGGGATTTATGCTATGAGGCGGGATTTGTGCTAGGAGGGGGGCTTAAGGGGATTTATGCTAGGAGGCGGGATTTGTGCTAGGAGGTGGGATTTGTGCTAAGAGCAGGGATTGGAGGGATTTATGCTAGGAGGTGGGATTTGTGCTAGGAGGCGGGGGGGGATTTGGGGATTTATGCTAGGAGGCGGGATTTGTGCTAGGAGGGGGATTTTTGTGCTAAGAGCAGAGATTGGAGGGGATTTATGCTAGGAGGCGCGATTTGTGCTAAGAGCAGGGATTGGAGGGATTTATGCTAGGAGGGGAGATGGGGGGGGATTTGGGCTAACAGAGGGATTGGGGGGAACCTCCCTCCTCCTGCCGGTGACCCCTCCAGTGATATAAAGATCTATATAGAGGAATCAGGACCTCCTTCCTCCTGCCGGTGACCCCTCTAGTGATATAAGATCTATATAGAGGAATCAGGACCTCCTTCCTCCTGCCGGTGACCCCTCTAGTAATATAAAGATCTATATAGAGGAATCAGGACCTCCTTCCTCCTGCCGGTGACCCCTCCAGTGATATAAAGATCTATATAGAGGAATCAGGACCTCCTTCCTCCTGCCGGTGACCCCTCTAGTGATATAAAGATCTATATAGAGGAATCAGGACCTCCTTCCTCCTGCCGGTGACCCCTCTAGTAATATAAAGATCTATATAGAGGAATCAGGACCTCCTTCCTCCTGCCGGTGACCCCTCTAGTGATAGGATCTATATAGAGGAATCGGGACCTCCTTCCTCCTGCCGGTGACCCCTATAGTGATATAAAGATCTATATAGAGGAATCGGGACCTCCTTCCTCCTGCCGGTGACCCCTCTAGTAATATAAAGATCTATATAGAGGAATCAGGACCTCCTTCCTCCTGCTAAAGCAATGCACATGCATTTATGGCATGAGGCCAGGCAATAAGGATTGTACAATGGCTTCAACATTCATCCCCACAACTTTTTTTTGTTTGTAAACCAGACTTCTGCCTTCATTTTCAAGGAATTGGATTCGGCTTCATACCTTCCAATGTCCTTCGCTGTAAATCGGTGAAAGGTCACCTAACATTATTGTAGTCTGTTTGCATTATTAACAAGGCTAATGGCATGAAAAGTGTGAGGCAGACCAAGCAAACAAAAAGCATTGCGTGTATACAACTGTCCATGCCAGGACTGTATAGAACATGTGAGCATACCTTTCGTGGGAGCAGGGAGCAGCATCGGTGGGACAAGAGCCAGCATATCTGGAAAACAGTTTTTAAGATCAACTGATGTACTCAAAAGCATTATATATATACAGTATCTGGGTGTATGGGATGTATGGGGTGTACGGGGTGTACGGGATGTACTGGATGCACGGGGTGTACGTGATGTATGGAACGTAAGGGATGTACGGGGTGTACGGCATGTACAGGATGTACGGGGTGTATGGGATGTACGGGATGTACGGCATTTATGGGATGAACGGGGTGTACAGGATGTACGGGGTGTATGGGATGCACGGGCTGTATGGGATGCACGGGGGGGTGTATGGGATATATGGGATGTACAGGGTGTACGGGATGTATGGTGTGTACGGGATGTATGGGATGTGGGATGTACGGGGTGTAATGGAGTGTATGGGATGTATGGGGTGTACAGGATATATGGGGGGGTGTATGGGATGTATGGGGTGTACAGGATGTACCTGATGCACGGGGTGTACGGGATGCACGGGGTGTACGGGATGCACCTGGTGTATGGGGACGTATGGGATGTACAGGACGTATGGGATGTACGGGGTGTACGGGGATGTATGGGACGTATGGGATGCACGGGGGGGTGTATGGGATGTACCTGGTGTATGGGGACGTACAGGATGTATGGGATGTACGGGACGTATGGAATGTACGGGATGTATGGGATGTACGGGGTACGGGACTTATGGGACGTATGGGATGTACTGGATGTGTGGGATGTACAGGATGTATGGGATGTATATGGGACGTGTATGGGTGTATGGGATGTACAGGGTGTACGGGATGTATGGGATGTATGGGACATACGGGATGTATGGGATGTACAGGATGTATGGGGGATGTAGGGGAATGTATGAGGTGTATGAGATGTACGGGATGTATGGGATGTACGGGATGTATGGAACGTATGGGATGTACAGGATGTATGGGATGTACGGGATGTACAGGATGTACGGGATGTATGGGATGTACAGGATGTACGGGATGTACGGGGTGTATGGGATGTATGGAACATATGGGATGTACGGGGGGATGTAGGGGATGTACAAGATGTATGTACGGGGTGTACGGGGTGTATGTATGGGATGTATGGGATGTACAGGATGTATAGGATATACGAGGTGTATGGGATGTATGGGGTGCACAGGATGTATGGGGTGTACAGGATGTACCGGATGCACGGGGTGTATGGGATGCACGGGATGTACCTGGTGTATGGGGACGTATGGGACCTACGGGATGTATGGGATGTACGGGATGTACAGGGTGTACGGGATGTACGGGGATGTACAGGATGTATGGGATGTACGGGATGTACGGGGTGTACAGGGTGTACGGGATGTACGGGATGTACGGGGATGTACTGGGTGTACGGGATGTATGAGCAAGCAGATAGGAACTGACAGGGAGAATCAGTGAACTACCACATCACATCATTCATTGAGAACTACAAGCCGACAGTCAGGACTTGTAGTTCATTCGTTCACAGTACTCTATAAATGAATGACACGGCTGTGTGGGCGGAGCCCTGCACGGCTGCACTCTATTCAAAAACTGACAGCTTGTACGGGAACTTCTATTGCTGCTGGGGGGTCTTATGTTCCTGGAGGAGATTTTGTTCTGTGGGGGATCTGTTGTTGTGGGGGGATCTATTGTTGCTGGGGATCTATTGTTGCTGGGGAGGGTGGGGGATCCATTGTTGCTGGGGGAGATTATTGTTGTGTGGGGGGATCTATTGTTGATGGGAGGGATCTATTGTTGCTGGCTGCAGGGGATCTATTTTAATGATTTTCTTGTTATCATTCCATAGAGTTTATTTAGCACCACAAAATGATACTTGGTTCTGTATTCTCTAAAAGGGGCGGGACCGGGAGGTGGGGTAGAGGGCATAACCAAGGAACAGTGCTCAGAGGTAGGTAGAGGGTGGAACCAAGGGACGGTGCTCAGAGGTAGGTAGAGGGTGGAACCAAGGGACGGTGCTCAGAGGTAGGTAGAGGGTGGAACAAAGGGCTGGTGCTCTATATGGCGCACTTTATATGGCGCACTGTATATGGCGCAGTCTATATGGCACGCTCTATATGACGCACTTTATATGACGCACTTTATATGGCGCACTGTATATGACGCACTTTATATGACGCACAGAGGTATATGACGCGCTTTATATGGCGCACTCTATATGACTCTCTGACACGCTCTGTATGGGTGCACTCTATATGACGCACTCTATATGACGCACTCTATATGACAGCACTCTATATGACGCACGTTATATGGAGCGCACTCTATATAAACGCGGTCTATATGGGCGCTCTATATGACGCACTCTATATGACGCACTCTATATGGACACGCTCTATATGATGAACGCACTTTATATGGCGCACTCTATATGACGCACTTTATATGGCGCACTCTATATGACGCACTGTATATGTATGGCGCACTCTATATGACGCACTGTATATGATGCACTCTATATGGCGCACTCTATATGGCGCACTCTATATGGCGCACTCTATATGGCGCACTCTATATGGCGCACTCTATATGGCGCGCTCTATATGACGCGCTCTATATGACGCGCTCTATATGTCGCGCTCTATATGGCGCGCTCTATATGGCGCACTCTATATGGCGCTCTTACCTGGAATTTGCACGCTGTGGTGTACATAGTCTTCTTCTTCTTCTGTTCCATAAATGAAAAAAACGCAACAAAGAAACAATTATTCTGTTTGCAGAAACAAGGTGGAGTGAGCCATGTACAAAGCGGGGGATGTGACTTTCACCAAACATTCACTGGAGGCCAATCAGTCACTGGCCTTTAAATTGGTTGCAAACCTCTGAAATGAAAAACAAACACGGCATATCCTTCTATGGTGTGCGCTTGCCTCAATACAAAGCACTGAGTGTGATTTCTGTCTCCTCTCTCAGTCCTTTGCTCTCGGCATGAGTCCCTTCTGAGAGTTTATGCCAACAACACTGAATCCCAGGCGATGGAGGAGCGGGGCTCCTGCACACAGACTGTGATTAACAGCCTCAGCTGTGCATGTTTCCCTATGAGATTGTATAGAGGTGGGCGTGTCCATTCCCTCCTCTCAGGTCTCAGCTTACACTCAGCTCCTTGCTCTGTGCTGTGCAGTGTGTGACATCAGATCCCCACCCCCTGCCTCCTGGAGCTGAGAAACGATGTGTAAATTCTGGACTGATAGAGAGGAAAGAAGGCTGCAGATAAACTGGAACAACTTATGTGGGAGGATTTGCTTCCTCTCTGAGCCTAGTCACTTCACTGGGTATATGGAAACGGTTTACAGCCAGTTTAACCCTGGCCGGATCTAGGGGGGTGCTGGGGTGGGATGCGCCACCCCCCAGAATTCAGTTGTGCCCCCCCAGGTTGGCCTTCTCACAGACGTTGTGCCCGGCTGATGAGCCCCTCTCCCCATCCCCCACACTCAGGGCCAGGAGAAGTGGAGGGCAGTACAATGTAGTGAAGGTTACAGGACAAATGGCAGCAGCAGAGAGCAGGGAGGAGGTGCGGGCTGTGCTGTGCTCTCCCTTCCTGTCCGAAGACAGAGGATGAGAAGAGCTCTGATATCGGGCCGAACACTGACTGTACCCCCCCCCCCCCCCACCGTGTACTGCTGCCGGGAGATAGTTTGCAGGTAAGGATAGAGTGTGTGAACGATCCCATGTCAGAGCGATCCCTTCCCATCTGCTGTACAGAGGAGCGCTCTAATGATAGGATGGGGAGAGCACAGCGCAGCCCGCACCTCCTCACAGCTCCTGGGGGGTTGGGGAGTGGACCTCATGGTGGGGGAATTGTATTCAATGGGGGGGGATTTATGCTAGAAGAGGAGATTGGGGGAAATTGGGCTAACAGAGGGATTGGGGGGGATTTTGGGGGCTAAGAGGGGTATTTGAGCTTGGAGGGGGAATTTGTGCTAAGAGCAGGGATTGGAGGGATTTATGCTAGGAGGCGGGATTTGTGCTTAGAGCAGGGATTGGAGGGATTTATGCTAGGAGGCGGGATTTATGCTAAGAGCAGGGATTGGAGAAATTTATGCTATGAGGCGGGATTTGTGCTAGGAGGGGGGATTTGTGCTAGGAGGCGGGATTTGTACTAGGAGGCGGGATTGGAGGGATTTATGCTAGGAGGCGGGATTTGTGCTAAGAGCAGGGATTGGAGGGATTTATGCTAGGAGGTGGATTTGGGAGGCGGGATTTGTGCTAAGAGCAGGGATTGGAGGCGATTTATGGGAAGGGTAGATTGGGGGGATTTGGGCTAACAGAGGGATTGGGGGGGGGGGGGGGGGGGTTAAGGGGGGTATTTGGACTTGGAGGGGGAATTTGTGCTAAAAGCAGGGATTGGAGGGATTTATGCTAGGAGGCGGGATTTGTGCTTAGAGCAGGGATTGGAGGGATTTATGCTAGGAGGCGGGATTTATGCTAAGAGCAGGGATTGGAGGGATTTATGCTAGAGGCGGGATTTGTGCTAGGAGGGGGGGATTTGTGCTAGGAGGCGGGATTTGTACTAGGAGGCGGGATTGGAGGGAATTTATGCTAGGAGGCGGGATTTGTGGTAAGAGCAGGGATTGGAGGGATTTATGCTAGGAGGCGGGATTTGTGCTAGGAGGCGGGATTTGTGCTAAGAGCAGGGATTGGAGGGATTTATGCTAGGAGGTGGGATTTGTGCTAGGAGGCGGGATTTGTGCTAAGAGCAGGGATTGGAGCGATTTATGCTAGAAGGGTAGATTGGGGGGATTTGGGCTAACAGAGGGATTGGGGGGGATTTGTTGGTTAAGGGGGGTATTTGTGCTAAAAGCAGGGATTGGAGGGATTTGTGCTAGGAGGGGGATTTGTGCTAGGAGGCGGGATTTTTGTGCTAAAAGCAGGGATTGGAGGGATTTGTGCTAGGAGGTGGGATTTGTGCTAGGAGGCGGGATTTGTGCTAAGAGCAGGGATTGGAGGGATTTATGCTAGGAGGTGGGATTTGTGCTAGGAGGCGGGATTTGTGCTAAGAGCAGGGATTGGAGCGATTTATGCTAGAAGGGTAGATTGGGGGGATTTGGGCTAACAGAGGGATTGGGGGGGGGGGATTTGTTGGTTAAGGGGGGTATTTGGACTTGGAGGGGGAATTTGTGCTAAAAGCAGGGATTGGAGGGATTTGTGCTAGGAGGCGGGATTTGTGCTAAGAGGAGAGATTTGTGCTAGGATAAGAAATTTGAGGAGAAAGAGGATGTGTGTGTTGGGGGGGGTGATTTTTTTTTGGGTGGGGTAGATTAGTGCTGGGGGGGAAATTGGGGGGATTTGAGCAAAGAGGTGGGTTGGGGGGGGGGGCAAAGATTTTTGCTGAGGGGGGGGCGTGCTGATAAGTGTTCCTTTGTTTTTGTGCTGAGACATGATGCTCACATGGTTGGGGGGGGGGGGGGGGGGGCGCACACAGATCCACACTGAGCATACTGGCTGAGCGCTCTGCTGAAGATCTGCTGCCAAATATCCCATCCACCATTGATTTACTGATCATCGGGGGAGGGGAAGGGGAGGAGCACAAATCTCCCATCTCATCAGTTCATCTATAGGAGGACAGAAGAGAACACAATACTCACGGAAGGCGTCATAATCCACTGAAAGAAAGAAAGAAAACATTACCGGCTGTACAGAAAAGATACCAGAGAGACGGAAGACAACATGGAGGCTGCCACTGAAGACTGGAGGAGCCGCGGGGGCCGTCCTTATCCTTTCCTTAGTACAGAATCCAAGAATAACAATGTAACAAAATCCTATTTATAAAATGTTTGCATAATCCTTTGTTATATTTTCCCTTCTGGATGAATTTGTTTTTTTTTTTGTATTATGGGCAGTTAGTAAAATTCCACATTATGGTCCCTAGATGGAGCTGAGGAGCGGAGGAAATACAGACATCTGTAACAAGAGATACAATGTAACAATGCTAGAGGGAATCAGCAAAAGAATGCGGTCGGTCACATGTATGTATTTCCTGTGCTCCTCAGCTCCATCTAGGGACCACAGTGGCTAAATGGTTAGCACTTCCACCTGGCAGTACTCGGGTCATTGGTTCAAATCCCAACCACGGCACCACCTGCCTGGAGTTTGCATGTTTTCTCTGTGGGTTTCCTCCAGGTACTCCGGTTTCCTCCCACACTCCAAAGACATGCTGGGAGGTGAATTGGCTCCTGTCTAAATTGGCTCTAGTATGTGTATGGATGAATGTGAGTTCGAGACCTTAGATTGTACGCTCCTCGGGGGCGGGGCCTGATGTGAATGTACAATATATATGTGAAGCGCTGCGTACATTAATGGCGATATATAAGTACCTGAAATAATGTGAAATTTTACTAACTGCTGAGGGAGCGGAGGAAATACATACATCTGTAACAAGAGATACAATGTAACAATGCTAGAGGGAATCAGCAAAAGAATGCGGTTACATGTATGTTTGTTAATCCCCTCTAGCGTTCTCTAGCATTGTTACATTGTATTTCTTGTTTGGTCCCCAGATGGAGCTGAGGAGTATAGGAAATACATAAATCTGTAACAAGAGATACAATGTAACAATGCTAGAGGGAATCAGCAAAAGAATGCGATTACATGTATGTGTTTTTTGCCTCCGCTCCTCAGCTCCATCTGGGGACCAAACAAGAAATACAATGTAACAATGCTAGAGAACGCTAGAGGGGATTAACAAACATACATGTAACCGCATTCTTTTGCTGATTCCCTCTAGCGTTCTCTAGCATTGTTACATTGTATTTCTTGTTTGGTCCCTAGATGGAGCTGAGGAGCGGAGGAAACACATACATGTAACCGCATTCTTTTGCTGATTCCCTCTAGCGTTGTTACATTGTATCTCTTGTTACAGATGTATGTCTTTCCTATACTCCTCAGCTCCATCTGGGGACCAAACAAGAAATACAATGTAACAATGCTAGAGAACGCTAGAGAGGGATTAACAAACATACATGTAACCGCATTCTTTTGCTGATTCCCTCTAGCGTTCTCTAGCATTGTTACATTGTATTTCTTGTTTGGTCCCTAGATGGAGCTGAGGAGTGGAGGAAACACATACATGTGTAACCGCATTCTCTTTGCTGATTCCCTCTAGCATTGTTACATTGTATCTCTTGTTACAGATGTATGTATTTCCTATACTCCTCAGCTCCATCTGGGGACCAAACAAGAAATACAATGTAACAATGCTAGAGAACGCTAGAGGGGATTAACAAACATACATGTAACCGCATTCTTTTGCTGATTCCCTCTAGCGTTCTCTAGCATTGTTACATTGTATTTCTTGTTTGGTCCCTAGATGGAGCTGAGGAGCGAGGAAACACATACATGTAACCGCATTCTTTTGCTGATTCCCTCTAGCGTTGTTACATTGTATCTCTTGTTACAGATGTATGTCTTTCCTATACTCCTCAGCTCCATCTGGGGACCAAACAAGAAATACAATGTAACAATGCTAGAGAACGCTAGAGGGGATTAACAAACATACATGTAACCGCATTCTTTTGCTGATTCCCTCTAGCGTTCTCTAGCATTGTTACATTGTATTTCTTGTTTGGTCCCTAGATGGAGCTGAGGAGCGGAGGAAACACATACATGTAACCGCATTCTTTTGCTGATTCCCTCTAGCATTGTTACATTGTATCTCTTGTTACAGATGTATGTCTTTCCTATACTCCTCAGCTCCATCTGGGGACCATAATGTGGAATCTTACTAACTGCTGAGGAGTATAGGAAATACATACATCTGTAACAAGAGATACAATGTAACAATGCTAGAGGGAATCAGCAAAAGAATGCGGTTACATGTATGTGTTTCCTCCGCTCCTCAGCTCCATCTAGGGGCCGTTATGTGGAATTTTTCTACTGCCCATAATAAAAGAGAGAATAAACCCGTTTTCGCCCCAGTCACACGGAACAAATGTACTTGCGATTTGCTGGACAAATGTGTCTGTAAATTGTTTATACAGTTGTGGCCAAAATTATTCAACCCCCAATGCTGTAAAGGGGTTTAGGGACTATAGTGTACATTTGGAATTGTATTCAGAATCAAATCCTACAAGGACGTTGTAACTACCCAAATGCAACTAAAATGACATCAATTGTTTATGTAATACAGTAGTAAATGGTTCTTATGTGGTTTCTTCATTGCCACAATTATTCAACCCCTTAAAGACTACCACTCTGAAGAACAGAGGTTCATACAGGTGCTTTCCATCAGGTATTGAAAAACCACCTGTGGATGTCACCGAGCAGCAATCAAGCATAATAAGCACCAATTAGGCAGCTTTAAAATGACTGTGATACTCAGCTCCTTCTAGACATTTACTGGTGTGGTTACAAACATGGTGAAGGCAAGAGAATGGTCCAGGAAGACAAGAGAAGAGGTGATTTCTCTTCACAGGAAGGGCAATGGCTATAAGAAGATTGCAAAGATGTTAAACATACCAAGAGACACCTTAGGAAGCATCATTCGCAAATTCAAGGCAAAGGGCACTGTTGAAACGCTACCTGGTCGTGGCAGAAAGAAGATGCTGACTTCGACTGCTGTGCGCTACCTGAAGCGTAGAGTGGAGAGAAGTCCCCGTGTGACTGCTGAGGAACTGAGAAAAGATTTGTCAGATGTGGGTACAGAAGTTTCAGCCCAGACAATAAGACGCACACTGCGTAATGAAGGCCTCCGTGCCAGAACTCCCAGGCGTACCCCCTTGCTGTCTCCAAAGAATAAGAAGAGTCGACTGCAGTATGCCAAAAGCCATGTGGACAAACCACAAAAGTTGTGGGGATAGTGTTCTGTGGACTGATGAAACAAAATTAGAACTGTTTGGGCCCATGGATCAACGCTATGTTTGGAGGAGGAAGAACAAGGCCTATGATGAAAAGAACACCTTGCCTACTGTGAAGCATGGTGGAGGGTCAATCATGCTTTGGGGGCTGTTTTGCTTCTGCAGGTACAGGGAAGCTTCAGCGTGTGCAAGGTACCATGAATTCTCTTCAGTACCAGGAGATATTGGATGGAAACGTGATGCAGTCCGTCACACACCTGAGGCTTGGGAGACGTTGGACCTTTCAACAGGACAATGATCCCAAGCATACCTCCAAGTCCACTAGAGCATGGTTGCAGAGGAAAGGCTGGAACATTTTGGAGTGGCCATCGCAGTCACCAGACTTAAATCCGATTGAGAACCTCTGGTGGGACTTAAAGAAAGCAGTTGCAGTGCGCAAGCCTAAGAATGTGACTGAACTGGAGGCCTTTGCCCATGAAGAATGGGCGAAGATACCCGTAGATCGCTGCAAGACACTTGTGTCAAGCTATGCTTCACGTTTAAAAGCTGTTATAACTGTAAAAGGATGCTGTACTAAGTACTAAGATTGAATGTCACTTGGGGGTTGAATAAAACTGATAATGCTGTGAGCACAGAAAAGACATTTGTGGTTATTTCATTATAAACTGTTATGTTATATTTGTCTGACCTACAAGTGCCTCTTTAATGTAAATGTAAGCAAGATGACTGAAATGATCAAAAGCAATGTCAAACTGGCCAAAACACTCAATTTCAGTGGGGGTTGAATAATTTTGGCCACAACTGTAAATATATTCCATGTTGTAGCTTAGCAGTCTTTGATGTGATGGCTGCGTTTGTTTTCTTTTTCTTTTCTTTTTTTTTTCACCTGGTGATCCTGCCAGTAACACACTTCCTGGCCAAGGGTGACAACGCTCACTCATGAGAAGGAGAAGCATTTTAACCCCTAATACAGGAAGTGTGTTAGGACTACAGCAATCTCCTCCCCCTTTTCCTCTAAAAGGCGTGGTCTCCAAACTGTGGCTGGGGGGGCCAGATGTGGCCCTTTGCTTGGTTTTTTCTGGCCCTTGGGCTCCCACTGACTCCAACATTGGGACATCATTCCTGCCACTGACACCAACAATGGGGCCAAATCCTCCCTTTTACACGAATTATAGTATACAGTTCCACCCAATATCATCAACGATGGGGCACTACTGCTCCCGATGACACCAACAATGGGGCACAGTTCCTCCCACTGACACCAATGATGGGGCACTATTCCTCCCACTGACACCAATGATGGGACACTATTCCTCCCACTGACACCAATGATGGGACACTATTCCTCCCACTGACACCAATGATGGGACACTATTCCTCCCACTGACACCAATGATGGGGCACAGTTCCTCCCACTGACACCAATGATGGGGCACTATTCCTCCCACTGACACCAATGATGGGGCACTATTCCTCCCACTGACACCAATGATGGGACACTATTCCTCCCACTGACACCAACAATGGGGCACTATTCCTCCCACTGACACCAATGATAGGACACTATTCCTTCCACTGACACCAATGATGGGGCACTATTCCTTCCACTGACACCAATGATGGGACACTATTCCTTCCACTGACACCAATGATGGGGCACTATTCCTCCCACTGACACCAATGATGGGGCACTATTCCTCCCACTGACACCAATGATGGGGCACTATTCCTCCCACTGACACCAATGATGGGGCACTATTCCTCCCACTGACACCAATGATGGGGCACTATTCCTCCCACTGATACCAATGATGGGGCACTATTCTTCCCACTGACACCAATGATGGGGCACTATTCCTGCCACTGACACCAATGATGGGACACTATTCCTCCCACTGATACCAATGATGGGACACTATTCCTCCCCCTGACACCAATGATGGGGCACTATTCCTCCCACTGACACCAATGATGGGACACTATTCCTCCCACTGATACCAACGATGGGGCACTATTCCTCCCACTGACACCAATGATGGGGCACTATTCCTCCCACTGACACCAATGATGGGACACTATTCCTCCCACTGACACCAATGATGGGGCACTATTCCTCCCACTGACACCAATGATGGGGCACTATTCCTCCCACTGACACCAATGATGGGACACTATTCCTCCCACTGACACCAATGATGGGGCACTATTCCTCCCACTGACACCAATGATGGGGCACTATTCCTCCCACTGACACCAATGATGGGACACTATTCCTCCCACTGACACCAATGATCGGATACGATTCCTCCCCAAATTCCAAAAGGCGTTGTTTGCTCCCAGTGAAGCTCGGACATTTTTTCTTGTTACTTCCCGCAGTCCGGACCCCTAAAATCTGAAAGACCATTAACTGTCCCTTTGTTTTTTGAAAGTTTGGAGACCCCTGCTGTAAAGCATAAGGGGGAGGGGTTCTATAGTCCTCGGAGATGACAGGGAACAATGTAACTGATAGGAGAGCAGCGGACTGAAAGCGCAGGAAGTTCTCGTAGGATTTCTGGCAGGATCAACAGAGATGAGGAATGAAAAAAAAAAACCGTCAGACTTACCGTAGTAATGGGAATCTGCGACTGCGGAGGAAACAAAGAGAGAGAGGAGCCATTGTTATCCATTCCTGATATTATGTTACATATATGTCATTACCCACAATGCCTGTGCCTGGGCAGCAGTGGGGGAGGGGATTTGTATTACACTGCAATGGAGGACACAAGATACTTTGTATAAGAAATGATCCCCCCGGGGTCCCCATAATCCCCCTTGCTGCCATTTTTGCATTTAAAAAATCATTTTTTAGCCTGAAGATTACTCAATAGTACCCCAGCTCTGCTGATCCCTCCCCCCTCAGTAGTAACCCCCAGCTCTGCTGATCCCTCCCCCCTCAGTAGTAACCCCCAGCTCTGCTGATCCCTCCCCCCTCAGTAGTAACCCCCAGCTCTGCTGATCCCCCACTCAGAAGTACCCCCAGCTCTGCTGATCCCCCACTCAGAAGTACCCCCAGCTCTGCTGATCCCCCGCTCAGTAGTAACCCCCAGCTCTGCTGATCCCCCACTCAGTAGTAACCCCCAGCTCTGCTGATCCCCCACTCAGTAGTAACCCCAGCTCTTCTTATCCCCCACTCAGTAGTAACCCCCAGCTCAGCTGATCCTCTACTCAGTAGTAACCCCCAGCTCAGCTGATCCCCCACTCAGAAGTACCCCCAGCTCTGCTGATCCCCCACTCAGTAGTAATCCCAGCTCTGCTTATCCCCCGCTCAGTAGTAACCCCCACCTCTGCTGATCCCCCACTCAGTAGTAACCCCAGCTCTTCTTATCCCCCACTCAGTAGTAACCCCCAGCTCAGCTAATCCTCTACTCAGTAGTAACCCCCAGCTCAGCTGATCCCCACTCAGAAGTACCCCCAGCTCTGCTGATCCCCCACTCAGTAGTAACCCCAGCTCTGCTGATCCCCCGCTCAGTAGTAACCCCCAGCTCTGCTGATCCCCCACTCAGTAGTAACCCCCAGCTCTGCTGATCCCCCACTCAGAAGTACCCCCAGCTCTGCTGATCCCCCACTCAGTAGTAACCCCCAGCTCTGCTGATCCCCCGCTCAGTAGTAACCCCCAGCTCTGCTGATCCCCCGCTCAGTAGTAACCCCAGTTCAGCTGATCCCCCACTCAGTAGTAACCTCCAGCTCTGCTGATCCCCCACTCAGTAATAACCTCCAGCTCTGCTGATCCCCCGCTCAGTAGTAACCCCCAGCTCTGCTGATCCCCCACTCAGTAGTAACCTCCAGTTCAGCTGATCCCCCACTCAGTAGTAACCCCCAGCTCTGTTGATCCCCCACTCAGTAGTAACTTCCAGCTCTGCTGATCCCCCACTCAGTAGTAACCCCCATCTCTGCTGATCCCCCACTCGGTAGTAACCCTCACCTTGGCTGATCCCCCACTCAGTAGTAACCTCCAGCTCTGCTGATCCCCCACTCAGTAATAACCTCCAGCTCTGCTGATCCCCCGCTCAGTAGTAACCCCCAGCTCTGCTGATCCCCCACTCAGTAGTAACCCCAGCTCTGCAATCCCCTGCTCAGTAATAAATTCAGCTCAGCTGATCCCATGCTCAGTAGTAACCCCCAGCTCTGTTGATCCCCCACTCAGTAGTAACCCCCAGCTCTGTTGATCCCCCACTCAGTAGTAACTTCCAGCTCTGCTGATCCCCCACTCAGTAGTAACCTCAGCTCAGCTGATCCCTTGCTCAGTAGTAACCCCCAGCTCTGTTGATCCTCCACTCAGTAGTAACCCCCAGCTTTGTAGATCCCCCACTCAGTAGTAACCCCCAGCTCTGTTGATCCCCCACTCAGTAGTAACTTCCAGCTCTGCTGATCCCCCACTCAGTAGTAACCCCCATCTCTGCTGATCCCCCACTCGGTAGTAACCCTCACCTTGGCTGATCCCCCACTCAGTAGTAACCTCCAGCTCTGCTGATCCCCCACTCAGTAATAACCTCCAGCTCTGCTGATCCCCCGCTCAGTAGTATCCCTCACCTTGGCTGATCCCCCACTCAGTAGTAACCCTCAGCTCTGCTGATCCCTCACTCAGTAGTAACCCCAGCTCTGCTGATCCCCCCGCTTAGTAGTACCCCCAGCTCTGCAATCCCCCACTTAGTAGTAACCTCAGCTCAGCTGATCCCACGCTCAGTAGTAACCCCCAGCTCTGCTGATCCCCCGCTCAGTAGTACCCCCAGCTCTGCAATCCCCCACTTAGTAGTAACCTCAGCTCAGCTGATCCCACGCTCAGTTGTAACCCCCAGCTCTGCAATCCCCCGCTCAGTAGTAAACTCAGCTCAGCTGATCCCCTGCTCAGTAATAACCCCAACTCTGCTGATCCCCCACTCGGTAGTAACCCCCAGCTCAGCTGATCGCCCACTTAGTACTTAAAACCCCCAAACACTCTAACCAATCGCACGATTTCCTGAAAGCAGACACCCTGGAGAATAAAATATGAGATTAGTGCAACAGTTTATGAAATGCAGCATTTTGGTACAAAATACACTCAAGTTCATTTTTAGGACACATAAACAAAATAGATTACAAACTTTTTGGATACCGGAGAATCACACCCTGCCCCCCCCAGGATACCCGGAGAATCACACCCTGCCCCCCCCCAGGATACCGGAGAATCACACCCCGCCCCCCCAGGATACCGGAAAATCACACCCCGCCCCCCCAGTATACCGGAAAATCACACCCCGCCCCCTCCAGGATACCGGAGAATCACACCCCGCCCCCCCAGGATACCGGAGAATCACACCTGCCCCCCTCCAGGATACCGGAGAATCACACCCCTCCCCCCCAGGATACCGGAGAATCACACCCCGCCCCCCTCCCAGGATACGGAGAATCACATCCCGCCCCCCTCCCAGGATACTGGAGAATCACATCCTGCCCCCCCTCAGGATACGGAGAATCACACCCCGCCCCTCCCAGTTTACCAGAGAATCACACCCCCCCCCCCAGGATACGGGAGATCACAAGGAAGAACAAACTTACTCTGAGTGTTGCTCACAGCAGCTAAAAGACACAAAAAGGACAAAAAATTATTCCAACTCCATGATACAGAGGGAGGTGCTGACCGGGTGACATCATCTCTACATCACCATTGTGGGAGGGGCAGAGGCACAAACTACAGCGGGAAATCTCCCCATTGTGGGACGGGCAGAGACACAAACTACTGCAGGAAATCTCCCCACTGTGGGAGGGGCAGAGAGACACAAACTACTGCAGGAAATCTCCCCACTGTGGGAGGGGCATAGACACAAACTACTGCAGGAAATCTCCCCATTTTGGGAGGGGCAGACACAAACTACTGGAGGGAAATCTCATTGTGGGAGGGGCAGAGAGACACAAACTACTGGAGGGAAATCTCCCCATTGTGGGAGGGACAGAGACACAAACTACTGGGGGGAAATCTCCCCATTGTGGGAGGGGCAGATACACAAACTACTGGGGGGGAATCTCCCCATTGTGGGAGGGGTAGACACAAACTACCTGGGGGGAATCTCCCCATTGTGGGAGGGGCAGAGACACAAACTACTGGGGGGAAATGTCCCCATTGTGGGAGGGGCAGAGACACAAAATACTGGGGGGATCTCCCCATTGTGGGAGGGGTAGACACAAACTACTGGGGGGAATCTCCCCATTGTGGAAGGGGCAGACACAAACTACTGTCACTTTCGGGTCAATAACAGGAATGAGAGATCAGTGAATGGACCTTCGTTGGTCTCCCTCTCCTCTACCCAGCAGCACCACCATGCTCATGTGTGGGGAGGATTTAAGGTATGGGCCATGTGGCCACATCAAGTCAATGATGTCACCACCATCCCTCCCACTGGCTATGTGCAGTTGTGGGGAGGGAATTCCAAGGCTCTGAAGCTGATTTGGCTGGCATATGGCTATCATGTGACCTTGTCACACAGATAGACATAAATCAGAGGTTCAGTGTGAGGGCAAAACCAGCCACCAGGGGCACTCTGTGCCATCCCCACATGGAAGAAAAATATAATTTAAATATATTTTAAAAATATTCTTCCCAAAGTATATTGACATATGTTTGAAAATAGTACAATTTTGGCCATATTCAATATATTTCATTATATATACAGTTGTGGCCAAAATTATTCAACCCCCACTGAAAATGAGTGTTTTGGCCAGTTTGGTACATTGCTTTTGATCATTCAGTCATCTTTGCTTACATTTACATTAAAGAGGCACTTGTTAGGATCAGACAAATATAACATAACAGTTATAATGAAATAACCACAAATGTCTTTTCTGTGCCTCACAGCATTATCAGTTTTATTCAACCCCCAAGTGACATTCAATCTTCAGTACTTAGTACAGCATCCTTTTACAGTTATAACACCGCTTTTTCCAACGTGAAGCATAGCTTGACACAAGTGTGTCTTGCAGCGATCTACGGGTATCTTCGCCCATCCAGGTTCATGGGCAAAGGCCTCCAGTTCAGTCACATTCTTAGGCTTGCGCACTGCAACTGCTTTCTTTAAGTCCCACCAGAGGTTCTCAATCGGATTTAAGTCTGGTGACTGCTCATGGCCACTCCAAAATGTTCCAGCCTTTCCTCTGCAACCATGCTCTAGTGGACTTGGAGGTATGCTTGGGATCATTGTCCTGTTGAAAGGTCAAACGTCTCCCAAGCCTCAGGTCACAGTGTGACGGACTGCATCACGTTTCCATCCAATATCTCTCTGGTACTGAAGAGAGGGTGGTTCATGGTACCTTGCACACGCTGAAGCTTCCCTGTACCTGCAGAAGCAAAACAGCCCCAAAGCATGATTGACCCTCCACCATGCTTCACAGTAGGCAAGGTGTTCTTTTCTGTCATAGGCCTTGTTCTTCCTCCTCAAAACATAGCGTTGATCCATGGGCCCAAACAGTTCTAAACTACTCAATTTTGCAGGAAATTTCATCAGTCCACAGAACACTATCCCACAACTTTTGTGGTTTGTCCACATGGCTTTTGGCATACTGCAGTCGACTCTTCTTATTCTTTGGAGACAGCAAGGGGGTACGCCTGGGAGTTCTGGCACGGAGGCCTTCATTACGCAGTGTGCGTCTTATTGTCTGGGCTGAAACTTCTGTACCCACATCTGACAAATCTTTTCTCAGTTCCTCAGCATTGCTGTCACACGGGGACTTCTCTCCACTCTACGCTTCAGGTAGCGCACAGCCATTGTCGAAGGGCAGCATCAAATACTTTCTGCCACGACCAGGTAGGTCTTTGTTTCAACAGTGCCCTTTGCCTTGAATTTGCGAATGATGCTTCCTAAGGTGTCTCCCCATTGTGTATGTTTAACATCTTTGCAATCTTCTTATCCATTGCCCTTCAATGTGAAGTGAAATCACCTCTTCTCTTGTCTTCCTGGACCATTCTCTTGCCTCTCACCATGTTTGTAACCACACCAGTAAATGTCTAGAAGGAGCTGAGTATCACAGTCATTTTAAGCTGCCTAATTGGTGCTTATTATGCTTGATTGCTGCTCGGTGACATCCACAGGTGTTTTCAATACCTGATGGAAAGCACCTGTATGAACCTCTGTTCTTCAGAGTGGTAGTCATTTAAGGGGTTGAATATTGTGGCAATGAAGTGTGAAAACCACATAAGAACCATTTACTACTGTATTACATAAACAATTGATGAAATTTTAGTTGCATTTGGGTAGTTACAACGTCCTTGTAGGATTTGATTCTGAATACAATTCCAAATGTACACTATAGTCCCTAAACCCCTACTTACAGCATTGGGGCCGTTGAATAATTTTGGCCACAACTGTATATACTGCATGTTGAAAATGTGTTTTTTTATATATTACAAAAATTTTAAAAAAATATATATATTTTTGAAATATATTCTTCAGATTTTTTTTAACATATATAAAAAAGTAATTGTAAAGTATATTTTTACAAATATTTGTAAATGCATTCCAAAAATGTAGATTAACTGTGTTTTTAAAGACATGCAGTATATTTGAAAAGTGTATTTTTAAAAAATATTTTTATTTGAAAATGTATTTTTAAAAATATTTTGTATTTTCTGTATTTCAAATACAATTTGTAATATAATAACATATGTATATTATATATAATAATTTGTTGAAATATATTGAATGCGGCCAAAATTGTAGTATTTCAAATATATGTCAATATATTTGGGAAGGATATTTTTGAAACATTTAAACGATATTTTTCTTCCATGTGATCTAACATGAACATACAACACCGTTGCTATCAGATACACGGAAGATACTCACCGTGAGAACCAGGAATGTCATCTACAAAGCCAACAAGAAAATGAAATATTAATCAGTGGAAGGACCGAACACAAAGATATAAACACTGACGGCCACTGACAGATAAATGAACAGCATTGATTATCTGGTTACTGTAGCTTCTAAAAGTGGGTGGGGTTTATTGGGCAGCAAGTGAAACATGTTTTCCCAGCAGTTGATGTGTGGAAAGCAGAAAAAATGGACAAGTGTACAGACTGAACGAACTGTGACAAGAACCAAATTGCAAAGTCTAGACAACTGGGTCAGAGTAACTCCAAAACTGCACCTCTTGTGGTCTGCAATGGTCAGGACCGACCAAAAGTGGCCCAAGGAAGGAAAACCGGAGAACCAGTGACAAGGTCATAGGCTACCAAGGCTAATTGATGGAGGTGGGGAGAGAAGGCTCATTGATGGAGGTGGGGAGGGAAGACTCATTGATGGAGGTGGGGAGGGAGGGCTCATTGATGAAGATTGGAAGGCTCATTGATGGAGGTGGGGAGGGAAGGCTCATTGATGGAGGTGGGGAGTGAAGGCTCATTGATGGAGGTGGAGAGGGAAGGCACATAGATAGAGGTGGGGAGGGAAGATTCATTGATGGAGGTGGGGAGGAAGGGCTCATTGATGGAGATGGGGAGGGAAGGCTCATTGATGGGGATGGGGGTTAGGGAAGGCTCATTGATGGAGATGGGGAGGGAAGGCTCACTGATGGAGGTGGGGAGGGAAGGCTCATTAATGGAGATGAGGAGGTAAGGTCATTGATGGAGATGGGGAGGGAAGGCTCATTGATGGAGGTGGGGAGGGAAGGCTCATTGATGGAGGATGGGGAGGGAAGGCTCATTGATGGAGGTGGGGAGGGAAGGCTCATTGATGGAGGTGGGGAGAGTCTCAATGATGGAGGGGCTCATTGATGGAGGGGGGGGGGAGGTGAGAGGGAGGCTCGATTGGGAGAGAAGGTGAGAAGGCAGAAGTCTCAATGATGGAGGGGGGAGGGAAGGCTCATTGATGGAGATGGGGAGGGAAGGCTCATTGATGGAGGTGGGGGAGGGAAGGCTCATTGATGGAGGTGGGGAGGGAAGGCTCATTGATGGAAAGTGAGGAGAGAAGGCTCATTGATGAGGTGGGAGGGAAGGTCTCAATGATGGAGGGGGGAGGGAAGGCTCATTGATGGAGATGGGGAGGGAAGGCTCATTGATGGTGAGAAGGGTGGGAGGGGGGAAGGGCTCATTGATGAAGGTGGGAAGGGAAGGCTCATTGATGGAGGTGGGGAGGGAAGGTTCATTGATGGAGGTGGGGAGGGAAGGCTCATTGATGGAGATGGGGGGGAGGGAAGGCTCGTTGATGGAGAAGGTGAGAAGGGTGAAGTCTCAAGATGGAGGGAGGAGGGAAGGGCTCATTGATGGAGGTGGGAAGGGAAGGCTCATTGATGGAGGTGGGGAGGGAAGGTTGATGAAGGTCATTGATGGAGGTGGGGAGGGAAGGCTCGTGGAGATGAAGGTGAGAAGGAAGTCTCAATGATGGAGAGGGGGAGGGAAGGCTCATTGATGGAGATGGGGGAGGGAAGGCTCATTGATGGAGATGGGGAGGGGAAGGTTCATTTGATGGAAGGCTCGTTGATGAAGGGCAGGAGGCTCGTTGATGAAGGTGAGAAGTCTCAATGATGGTGGGCGGAGGGAAGGCTCATTGATGGAGGTGGGGAGGGAAGGCTCGTTGATGAAGGTGAGAAGGAAGTCCAATGATGGAGGGGGGAGGGAAGGCTCATTGATGAAGGTGAGGAGGTAAGGCTCATTGATGGAGATGGGGAGGGAAGGTTCATTGATGGAGGTGGGGAGGGAAGGGAAGTCTCATTGATGGAGGTGGGGAGGGAAGGCTCATTTATGGAGGTGGGGAGAGATTTATGGAGGTGGGGAGGGCTCATTGATGAAGGTTAGAAGGAAATCTCAATGATGGAGGGGGGAGGGGAAGGCTCATTGATGGAGGTGGGAAGGGAAGGCTCATTGATGGAGGTGGGGAGGGAAGGCTCATTGATGGAGGTGGGGAGGGAATGCTCATTGATGGAGGTGGGGAGGGAAGGCTCATTGATGGACGTGGGAAGGGAAGGTTCACTGATGGAGGTGAAATTTGCTTAACAACAGCCAAACAGATATCAGTTGTCTATTTTCCAATACAGGTTGGAGAAGGAAAGGAACAGATTTGTGGTCTGGTGAGTGCACTTTACGGGGGAATACTTCTCAGCGGCACTACTGAGCCAGTGAGCAACAATTGGCATATGAGGTAATGGGCACATGCTTGTTCCATGACATCACTCACATGGTAATGAACCACAAATCAGGGTGAAAGCACAGGGGCAATGGTAGATCTATTCCTGATAATGTCCCCGATCAATTCTGTTCTCTAATCCAACACTATTTATCAGATTCATTTATTGCTCAACATATCAAGCTTGTGAATTACATTCCAGGCCACTGGGAAGGAAGAGATGCCCGCCATATTGGTGCCGTCATATTGGTGCCTCCATATTGGTGCCTCCATATTGGTGCCTCCATATTGGTGCCTCCATATTGGTGCCTCCATATTGGTGCCGCCATATTGGTGCCTCCATATTGGTGCCTCCATATTGGTGCCTCCATATTGGTGCCTCCATATTGGTGCTGCCATATTGGTGCCTCCATATTGGTGCCTCCATATTGGTGCCTCCATATTGGTGCTGCCATATTGGTGCCTCCATATTGGTGCCCCCAATTTAATGTAAATATGTGTTAAATATTGAAATGCGCTCCATCACTGGAGAGGTACTGCTGGGAGTTGGTTAAAGTGTGTGAGAATTGTAACGGCCCAAAGAGACGGGAAATAAGAGAGTATAGCAGATACTAGATGGAGACAAGACATACCAAACTCAACTTCCTCCTTCTCATCTGCAGGAAAACATGAGTATGTTATTCATTTATATAGCTCTGACATATACCACAGCGCTGTACAGAGATCACTGAGCCAGTCACATCAGTCTCTGTACCAGAGGAGCTTACACTCTAATGTCCCCTCCCCCACAGACCCATCAGTCTCTGTACCAGAGGAGCTGACACTCTAATGTCCCCTCCCCCACAGTCACATCAGTCTCTGTACCAGAGGAGCTTACACTCTAATGTCCCCTCCCCCACAGTCACATCAGTCTCTGTACCAGAGGAGCTTACACTCTAATGTCCCCTCCCCCACAGACCCATCAGTCTCTGTACCAGAGGAGCTGACACTCTAATGTCCCCTCCCCCCACAGTCACATCAGTCTCTGTACCAGAGGAGCTTACACTCTAATGTCCCCTCCCCCACAGTCACATCAGTCTCTGTACAGAGGAGCTTACGCTCTAATGTCCCCTCCCCCGCAGTCACATCAGTCTTTGTACCAGAGGAGCTTACACTCTAATGTCCCCTCCCCCCACAGTCCCATCAGTCTCTGTACAGAGGAGCTTACGCTCTAATGTCCCCTCCCCCGCAGTCACATCAGTCTGTACCAGAGGAGCTTACACTCGAATGTCCCCTCCCCCCACAGTCCCATCAGTCTCTGTACAGAGGAGCTTATGCTCTAATGTCCCCTCCCCCGCAGTCACATCAGTCTTTGTACCAGAGGAGCTGACACTCTAATGTCCCCTCCCCCACAGTCCCATCAGTCTCTGTACAGAGGAGCTTACGCTCTAATGTCCCCTCCCCCGCAGTCACATCAGTCTTTGTACCAGAGGAGCTGACACTCTAATGTCCCCTCCCCCCACAGTCCCATCAGTCTCTGTACAGAGGAGCTTACGCTCTAATGTCCCCTCCCCCACAGTCACATCAGTCTTTGTACCAGAGGAGCTTACACTCTAATGTCCCCTCCCCCCACAGTCCCATCAGTCTCTGTACAGAGGAGCTTACGCTCTAATGTCCCCTCCCCCGCAGTCACATCAGTCTTTGTACCAGAGGAGCTGACACTCTAATGTCCCCTCCCCCCACAGTCCCATCAGTCTCTGTACAGAGGAGCTTACGCTCTAATGTCCCCTCCCCGCAGTCACATCAGTCTCTGTACCAGAGGAGCTTACACTCTAATGTCCCCTCCCCCCCACAGTCACATCAGTCTCTGTACCAGAGGAGCTGACACTCTAATGTCCCCTCCCCCCCCACAGTCCCATCAGTCTCTGTACAGAGGAGCTTACACTGTAATGTCCCCTCCCCCACAGTCACATCAGTCTCTGTACCAGAGGAGCTTACACTCTAATGTCCCCTCCCCCACAGTCACATCAGTCTCCGTACCAGAGGAGCGTACGCTCTAATGTCCCCTCCCCCGCAGTCACATCAGTCTTTGTACCAGAGGAGCTTACACTCTCTAATGTCCCCTCCCCCCACAGTCCCATCAGTCTCTGTACAGAGGAGCTTACGCTCTAATGTCCCCTCCCCCGCAGTCACATCAGTCTTTGTACCAGAGGAGCTGACACTCTAATGTCCCCTCCCCCCACAGTCCCATCAGTCTCTGTACAGAGGAGCTTACGCTCTAATGTCCCCTCCCCCGCAGTCACATCAGTCTCTGTACCAGAGGAGCTTACACTCTAATGTCCCCTCCCCCACAGTCACATCAGTCTCTGTACCAGAGGAGCTTACGCTCTAATGTCCCCTCCCCCCGCAGTCACATCAGTCTCTGTACCAGAGGAGCTTACACTCTAATGTCCCCTCCCCCCCACAGTCACATCAGTCTCTGTACCAGAGGAGCTTACACTCTAATGTCCCCTCCTAGTCCATGACATACACGTCACTTACAGTCTTCCTTTGGTTTATTGGCCACCAGCTGCTTGTTTGCTTCTTCCTCTGGTCTGGTCACCACCAGGGAGGTCAATGGGGTGACAAAATGATACTTCAGTGAGAGGTTGAGGGCTTTTTCCGTCACTTTCCGTTTTTCTTCCCCCTCCAGTGATATTCTGTTGGAGGAAATCCATTATTTAGGATTGGAGCAATTTGTTGGTAAAATAGTAGTTAAGGTTGAAAAAGATCAAAATCCATCGAGTTGATAATATTCCACCTTTCGGCTCGATAGATGACATTGTGCCCCGTTTCCCATAATGCAATGTGGGTATTTCTCAGTAGCTCATGGCACGCCCACCTACATCCCATAATGCAGCACATGCACCTGCATCCCATAATATCATGGCCATGGCGCTCCTGCCTCCATTCTATAATGTGGCTAATGCATACATGCCAACTGTCCCGGATTTTCCTGGATAGTCCTGCGTTTTGTCTCTCTGTCCCGCAGATGCTACAGTATGTCCGGCGATCACAGCATGGACCTTGTTTGAGTTACTGCACAGGCACATTATTGGGGCTGCGGGTGACCGGTTACTTTTGAGGTTATGGGAGGGATCAACCCTTAAAATGGGCCCGGTGGTCTTGCATATTTAGGGGCATGGTCTTGGTGGGACAAACCCATAGAGTTGACATTGAGGCCACCTGGTGGGTTAACAGTGTCCCAGGATCCGGGACCATAATATTGGTTGGTATGCCAATGCGTTTCCCAACAGGAAGCAGCTGCATTGCATTGTAGGATGGGGGGGAACACGCTTTAGCCATGTCTTGCATGTTGCATGCTCTCTGGGTCCAAGAGGGTGAGGAAGGACAGGTGTACACATAGGGTTACATGGGCAGTTAACCATTGCCCCTTTGACCACCCCCCAAGTGACTATGCAGCCCTCCTTTCCCTGCTCAAGTGGGTTGAGGAAGCCGATGCTGTGTGCAAGGCGACAGATGCTGCCGAAAATGACAAAATGGACATTTTATTAAAAAGATACATTACTGTCACCATGAAGGAGCCCCAACAGAAAGCCCAGCACTTTACCGGCAGCACCCTACATTAATGTTTCCTTGTAGAATAAATATTTCATTGGATGAGAGAAAGACATGGAAAGGAGAGCCTCAGATTATTACTATCACCAAGAAGTGATAATTCTAACCTTCAACAGAAAGCCCAGCATTTTCATGGAAGCACCCGGCATTTAATGTTTCTTTGTAAAATAATAATTTTATTAGGTGTGCAGCTCCATGTGATGTGGGAGGATATTCCGTATTATGGGATGAGAAAGGGACATAAAGACACAGCCTCAGCTCATTACTGTCACCATGAGATAATAGTGCTAGGCTTTAACAGAAAGCCCAGCACTTTAATGGAAGCACCCTACAATAAATGTATCTTTGAAAAATAAAGATCATCCAAAGCTAATGGCCACTATTCAGTGCTCCTACTCCTTGACCTCTCTGCGGCCTTCGACACAGTCGACCACCCCCTCCTCCTCAAAAAACTACACTCCCTCGGCCTCAGAGATTCTGCTCTCTCCTGGCTCTCATCCTACCTGTCACAACGCTCCTTCAGCGTTACCTATAATGCTACCACCTCCCCCTCACTCCCCCTCTCTGTTGGGGTCCCTCAAGGCTCTGTCCTCGGGCCCCTTCTCTTCTCCATCTACACCTCCTCCCTTGGCCAACTCATACACTCTCACGGCTTCAACTACCACCTCTATGCCGACGACACACAAATCTATCTCTCCACCCCCCACCTCACCCCCTCGGTCTCCGCCCGAATCACACACCTACTGAGCGACATATCAGACTGGATGTCACTCCACTTCCTTAAATTGAACCTCTCCAAAACCAAGTTTCTTGTCTTCCCCCCCCCCAGCCCGGACCCCACCCCCCATTGACTTCTCCATCACATCCAACAACGCCACCATCAAACCCGCCCCGCAGGCCAGAGTACTTGGTGTCATTCTGGACTCCAACCTATCCTTCCAGCCCCAAGTCCAATCTTTAACAAACTCGTGCCGACTCCCTCCGCAACATCCGCAACATGCAGACTCCACCTCTGCAACATGCAAACTCCGCCTCCGCAACATGAAGACTCCGCCTCCGCAACATGCAGACTCCACCTCCGCAACATGCAGACTCCACCTCCGCAACATCGCCAAAATCCGCACGTTCCTAACCCCAGAAACCACTAAACAGCTCATCCACTCCCTCATCATATCACGACTCAACTACTGCAACTCCCTCCTCACTGGCCTGCCTCGCCACAGGCTATCCCCGCTTCAGTCCATCCTGAATACAGCTGCCAGACTCATTCACCTTTCCAACCGCTCTGTCTCCACCACCCCCCTCTGCCAATCCCTCCACTGGCCTCCACTCAGTGTCCTCCCCCCCCCCCCCCCCCCCCTCTGCCAATCCCTCCACTGGCCTCCACTCAGTGTCCTCCACCCCCCTCTGCCAATCCCTCCACTGGCCTCCACTCAGTGTCCTCCACCCCTCTCTGCCAATCCCTCCACTGGTCTCCACTCAGTGTCCTCCACCCCTCTCTGCCAATCCCTCCACTGGCCTCCACTCAGTGTCCTCCACCCCCCTCTGCCAATCCCTCCACTGGCCTCCACTCAGTGTCCTCCACCCCCCTCTGCCAATCCCTCCACTGACTTCCAATTGCGCAACGGATAAAATTCAAAATCCTAACACTGACGTACAAAGCCGTCCACCATATTGCCCCGAACTACATCACTGACCTAATATCCAAGTACCACCCAACACACACACTCCGCTCCTCACAAGACCTCCTTCTCTCTAGTTCCCTGGTCTCCTCCTCCCATGTCCGCCTCCAGGACTTCTCCAGGGTGTCACCCATCCTCTGGAAATCCCTGTCCCAACCCATCAGATTATCACCTACTCTCCTCTCCTTTAGGCGCACCCTGAAAACCCACCTCTTCAGGGAAGCCTACCCCACCCCCTGCTAACCTGCCGACCTCCTCCACTCTTCCTACCACTCCATCCCCCACAGCTATCTCCTCCTGTGCCACCATCCCCTCCCTCCTAGATTGTAAGCTCCAAGGAGCAGGGCCCTCGATCCCCTCATGTTTTGCATTGTATTGGTATTGTTCTGTCACATGTTCTGTCCCCCTCTGTAATGTACAGCGCTGAGCCAACTATCGGCGCTTTATAAATACTGTATAATAATAATAATGTGATGCTTCATGTTATGTAGGTGGATGTAATGCATTATGGGAAGAGAGAGGTATAAAGAGAGGGCATAAACTTCCTATTGTCACAATGAAGGAGCCTCAACAGAAAGCCCAGCACTTTAACAGAAGCCCCCGACAATAAATGTATCTTTGAAAAATAAAGATCATCTTGGCTGTGCTGCTTCACGTTATGTAGGTGGATGCAATGCATTATGGGAAGAGAGACAGACGTAAACATCTTATCACCATGAAGGAGTCCTAACAGAAAGCCCAGCACTTTATCAGAAGCCCCCACATTGGATTTTTCTTGGCTAAATAAAGATTACGCTGTATTTAGGTATTGAAAAAAAAAACGGAACTTGATTTACTTGGAGTAAATTTTTATAGTTTAAACACCCAATTTGCCTAACATGGTAAAAACTTCCATTTCATGCATTTGAAGCTATTTCTTGCTACATAAATTTACAAAGGTTTTCCAGGAAAAAAATGATACATTCGCATTTCCTGAACAAGTAACGGGCCGCACCACAGCTCATCAACCTATAAAGGAGAAACGACTAAAGGAAAGTCTATGTGGGGTCTGAGCACTCATCGGACGTCGTCTGGGAGGAGACAGTATGCCATGGGTACCTGTTGTACAATAGGGACTCAGGGGTCAAACTGCAGGGATCCAGGGAATCTCCGAATGCCTCTCGGGGAATCAGGAAAAAAAGATTTCCCCTGCAGGAGCAGATTGGATCGTGCTTGGCTGGGTTTTTTTTGCCTTCCTCTGGATCAACTGTGGGTGGAGAATTATAACTTTTTTTTTTTAATGGTTGAACTGGATGGACTTTTGTCTTTTTTCAGCCAGACTAACTATGTATGATAATAATAATATTATTTCTGTCGCAGAAATGTGTCTATTTGAGGATCCCTATTTTCCCACACAGCCCAAATCACTAGGGTACAACCAGGGGCGGACTGACCATTTGGAAACTCGGGCACTGCCCGAGGGTCCGGGGTCAGCAGGGGGCCCCATGAGATGCCCCTGGTACCTTTTTCATAGGCTTTTTTGAGTTTGGGCAAGGACACAGGGGCCCGAATATCCATATTTGGCACGAGGATTGAAGATCACGTTTACCAGGATCTTCACATATTTGCCACTATTTATGGACATTGATTTGTCACTTGTTTATTATTAGATTTGACCTGTGCAAGCCTGAAGGGGAGGAGCCGGTACACCTGTGCAAGACTGAAGGGGAGGAGCGATACACCTGTGCAAGACTGAAGGGGAGGAGCCGGTACACCTGTGCAAGACTGAAGGGGAGGAGCCAGTACACCTGTGCAAGACTGAAGGGGAGGAGCGGTACACCTGTGCAAGCCTGAAGGGGAGGAGTCGGTACACCTGTGCAAGACTGAAGGTGAGGAGCAGGTACAACTGTCCAAGACTGAAGGGGAGGAGTTGGAACACCTGTTCAAGACTGTAGGGGAGGAGCCAGTGCAACTGTGCAAGATTGGAGGGGAGGAGCCAGTACACCTGTGCAAAACAGAAGGGGAGGAGCCGGTACACCTGTACAAGACTGAAGGGGAGGAGTTGGTACACCTGTACAAGACTGAAGGGGAGGGGCCAGCACACCTGTGCAAAAATGAAGGAGAGGAGACGGTACACCTGTGCAAGACTGAAGAGAGGAGCCAGTAAACTTGTGCAAGACTGAGGGGAGGAGCCGGTACACCTGTGCAAGACTGAAGGGGAGAGTCGGTACACCTGTGCAAGACTGAAGGGGAGGAGCCGGTACACCTGTGCCAGACTGAAGGGAGGAGCCCGTACACCTGTGCAAGACTGAAGGGGAGGAGCCGGTACACCTGTGCAAGACTGAAGGGGAGGAGGCGGTACACCTGTGCAAGACTGAAGGGGAGGAGCCAGAGGAAGGATTTAAGTTTTGGGTAGCAGGTAGCATAAACATCTATAAGTAACACCATTTTGAAGACCTTCCTGCAGTCCCTGTCACTGTGACACCAGGATGAAAAATGGGCGGAGTAGTTGTCAACGGGAACAATATTAATATTGACTGATGTTGGAACCAGGGGCAGACTGACCATTTGGAAACTCGGCACTGCCCGAGGGCCCGGGGTCAGTAGGGGGCCCCATGAGTTGCCCTTGGTACCTTTTTCATAGGCTTTTTTGAGTTTGGGTAAGGACACAGGGGCCCCATGATCCCCTATTGCCCAGGGGCCCCATGAGTTGTCAGTCTGCCCCTGGGTACAACATTTTAGGACCACGGTCTCCAGACACCGTAGGGATTCAATGGAAAAGACTTCAGGAGATATGTAATGTTCCTCAGTTTATCTGTGAGGATATGAAGTGGACAGATATTTGCCAGGGACCCCTGGGCTCTATATGAGCTAATAAACCCACAGAGCCCATCACGGGGGACGCTGCGGTACTGCATGTGACCCAGAGGAAGGGGATTCCTGACCAGGCTGTGTTAATCCTTAAAGGGACCTCCGGCTGACCACACTGTATACTTATACATGCGTATTATAATTACGCATCTGGTGAGTGCGTAATATTACCACATCCCTGGCACATCACCGAATATCCATATTTGGCATGAGGAACGCCAATTGAAGATCACGTTTACCAGGATCACATATTTTTTCCACATTTATGGACATTGATTTGTCACTTGTTTATTATTATTTTGATCATCTCATTATCAGCACTTTACTATATTAGCACTTTATTTGCACATTTCATCCTGAATGATATTAGGAATTTTATAAGTATTTTAATGTGTCATTTATTGATGGATATTTAGCGCTGCGCCTATTATTATTATCATATGGAGGTTATTTGGCTGCCTTTTGGTGCTACAGCAGCTTGTTTTTAGTGCTCGATTGTTTGTTTGTGTTTCAGACTAACTATGTAAACTGGACTCTGCTCTCCTGTGAAAGTTAATGAGCTGTAAATCACAAAATTCTGTGAGTAAGCGGAGGACAGCTTTTCCTGGAGAAACCTTTAGGCTCCATGTACACTGCGGCTGATAAACTGACGTTCAGGAGCTTTTCTGCGTTTTTTCAGCAGCCCCTGAACCCTCCGTAATGTTCTCCTATATGTCGGTGTGCACATCGTCGTTTACAGGCAGGGGCGGACTGACAACTCATGGGGCCCCCGGGCAATAGGGGATCATGGGGTCCCTGTGTCCTTGCCCAAACTCAAAAAAGCCTATGAAAAAGGTACCAGGGGCATCTCATGGGGCCCCCTACTGACCCCGGGCCCTTGGGCAATGCCCGAATTTCCAAATGGTCAGTCCGCCCCGGGTTCCAAACTTGATTCCTTTCTTCTTGGGTCCAGAGTTCCACCAACTCATCCAATATTTCTTTTTTAAAAAAAAAAAAAAGAATGCTCCAAATGAAAAACTCCTCCATGTCTGTCTCTCAAAAAAGCCTATGAAAAAGGTAAAAGGGACATCTCATGGGGCCCCCCTACTGACCCCGGGCCCTCGGGCAGTGCCTGAGTTTTCAAATGGTCAGTCTGCCCCTGTTTACAGGCAGTGGATTTTACAGACGTTTCAAACGCCAAATGCTTGTAAACGCTTGTAAATACGGCTAACCGCGTTTATAAGCGTCTGCTTTTAGAAGCGTTTTTTAACTGTTCCATATCCAGATGCTCTCCGGAGCCTTTTTTCATCATCAGAAATGCATGCAAAGCCTTTTCCATGTATTTAAATGGACCCGGTACACCAGCGCAGTCAGTTGCAGGTTTTGCATGAAGGAAACAATGGTAGAACCCGCCGCATTATGCTCATAGATGGGATCCATAGTGACTACAACCAGAAAAGACAGCGAATCTCAGCACATACTGCTCTCTCTGCTTCTGCTCTCGCTATTTTTCTCAAAATGTCTGAAATAGTTAATTATTTACTATTTTTCAGGTCATTCTGGGCATTTGGGAAGGTCTCCCGAGGTTATCTCTTAAAAACGCTTCTGAACGCAAACGCGCATAAACGCAGCTAAACGCGGTATGCAAACTAAACTTTTTTTATCTACGTTTTCCAGCAGTTTCCATCATTCAGAAGAGTTTTCCAAACGCCCCGTGTACATGAACCTTTACAGTTCTTTGGGGGTTTTTTTTCTTCATCTAAAAGCTGGATCACTTACTGTCTGGTGAGTAGTTGCTCTATGGTGAGGTACGCCCACAACCTCTCTATGAAATTTCCGAATATATAATGCGGTTCTTCTTCCACCTCTTCCTCTTCATTGATAATTGTCTCCAGTTTTACTGAAAATGGTTCGGACACCTTCGTGGAAACAAAATAGCTGAGTGGAATAATACATTTAAAGCAAAGCTCCGGATTTGTTGGGGAAAACACAATTCTCTCAAAGCCAACCACATCGATTGTTACTTTTCCAGGTTTTGTTAACACAACACTTTTCTTGATGTCTTACCCTGGTGACCACCACACCCCTCGTATATTGGGGACATGCCCAGCATGGGGCAGAGACATAGTTCCTATCATGCCTGAACCAGGCATGAGCATAGACGCCTAACTAGATGTGCAAGGAGAAGAATGACCACCTATGAGCATTGGCACATAGGTGCACGCCCACAGGTCTTGGTGCCTGGCAGCCTATTTACACCCAGGGTCTGCCTGGCCTCAGTACTGGATTGTCCTCAGCTCTGGTTCCTGTATTTGTGGTTCCTGAGAGTCTGTTTACCTTGTACCTGGCCCAACTACGCCTGACATCTCTCTTGGATCACCCCTGCCTGTTATGTCTGCTGCTTGCTTGTGTTACTGACCTCGGCTTGGATTTCTTACCACGATACCGCCGCCGGACCTGGTACCTCCCCAACAGCATGTTACTGAATCCTGCCTGGTCCTGACCTTGAACTTGATCCTGACCGTCATCTTGATCCTGACCTTCAACTTGATCCTGACCTTCAACTTGATCCTGACCCTGCACCTCTTTGCCTGGCTGCTACTGGACATAGCTTGTGACAAGACTCCATACTGCAACTGGAAGGACTCCTGCGTCTCCAAGCTCCAGTTCACTATTCCAGCTTCCTGGCATTTGTGCCCTTCCAGTTCCCTAATAGTCCCTGTCTCCACTACCAGAAGTGCTTGGACAGGAATTGCACAGGAGGCCACGCTGGTCATCTTGGGCTTCACAGTCAGGTACATGACAATGACCAAGAGCCAGAAGGAGAACGGCAATAAGCGAAAAAAGAGCGGTAAGGACAGCTATGCCATCTATGTGTACAAGGTGTTCGAGTAAGTCCACCCTGACACCTGCATTCGTCCAAGCATCATGAACTCCTTTGTCAAGAACATCTTCGAGTTCATGTCTAGTGAAATTTCCCACTTAGTTCATTACAAAAAGTGCTAAACCATTACTTCCTGGGAGATCCAGACCCCTGTCTACCTGTTGCTGCTCGAAAAGCTGGTCAAGCGCACCATCTCTGAGGGCACCAAGGCCATCAACAAGTACACCAGCACCAAGTACTGCAAATCTCTCATTTATTGGAGACAGACTGCAGAAAAAAAAAACTGACAGAAGTTCTATCCATTCCATACTCTGTCTAAAACAAAAACAGTTTTGGCTTGAGATACCCCCTTAACAGCTTATGTGTAGGCATCCTTTTTAGGAAGTTCATCATGAAACCCCATGTGCTTTAAGATGCCTATAGACATTGGAGAAGGCTTGGACAAACCACGTTTCCTGAGCATGTCCAACATCCAGTTTCTTGAGCATAGTCAGTGATGGAAAACTCTGCTCCAGACCCACTGATTGACACCATCACATACTTTGGAGATGGTGTCAATCAAAGATACCTTGGCTCTTCCTGTGACTGTCACTGATTTCTTTGGGGCAGAAGGTCTGCACTGGCAGCCATGGGTAGGGGGAGATGGAAAAGGGGGCAAAGCTACTAACATTTCACATAGTTTGAAAGAATTAAGAAATGTTTTTGGATCAGCAGAAGGAGCCGAATCCAAGGATACACACTTGAAGGATAGAAAGGTTCACTTTAAAATCTATATACTCACCCCTTGAGCCGTCACCTCCGCTGTGAGGACATCCAGGCTGTTGTTGGCTATGAATCCAGAGACAATGATTTCTGAACCTTGGTAGTAAAGTTTGAAGTTGTTCTGAGTGAGATAATCCACTGAGTTGTCCAAGTATTGTAGGTGAACATTCAAAAGCATTGGGTAAGCTACTTCATTGTAGAAGCCCTGAAAGAGAGAAGGGAGAAGAGTCATCTACCTTTAAAGGGTTGCTCATCCCAAAATTCAGTGATAGATGAGGTTGGATGGATTTATCCACAGATTAGCTCCTTATATTTCTTAAGGATCCCGACACCACAGTTCCTGTGTCTGCCTCCAGAGCCAGCAGCAGTTTATAGTGCCATTAAGACTTGATAGTCTTTATTAAACCCTAATACAGGTCTACTATTGCATCTCATCTAATATCATCCACCGCTCAGGCCCTGAGGAACAGGAAGCCTTTTCCCAAAAGTGTGTTGGCTGTTCTGATGCTCCTAACCAATATATGATTCAAAAAGGCCTCTAGATGAAATGAACTTTTGTACTAGACACCCCTCAATACTCACCTCAGAGTTTATTGTTTGCTGTGCGCTCTTTTTGTCACAATCAGAGAGGTAGCAGCCTAGGACCACAACAAGGTCACCTTCATTCAGCTCCTTTAAAGGAAGACACGCTCCAATGTGCATCATTCTGAACCAAGTCTCACTTCTCTCCATCCAGGGCTATCACACACACACATCAGACTCTTATGGCACTGCTTCTGTCAGCCTTGGTGTTAGGGTCTGGATCTGAACCTACAACCTCTGTTGTGTCTGGCTACAGCTCTTCTCACTGTTCCACCTAAATTTCTGGACAGGGAGTCTGATCTCTTTAC